CACTTACCTTCTGCTTTCCCCCAAAACTGAGGCAGCCATCTCTAAGATGCATAGTATGAATATAAGCTGCAGGATGACATGCATGCTTCTCATTTTGTAGCTGAATAGACCAAGAATTGCAAGGACTGAATTTGTAATTTCTTTATTTGTTCCTTTTGTTATTTATTACCAAGAGAACAAACAAAAAGCAGTGCTTACTGAAAAATGCCAGTTACTGGCCAAAACTGCATTACGGTAAGTGTTCTAAAGTCCACTTTTTTGAAAATTCCATTTTTTCCTATGTGGACACTGGGAAATAATGTAGTTTCAAGATTAAAACCAAACCATTTTTGTTTTCTAGTGCCTTTTAAATATGGGACAGACATTTTCTATTTAATTACAGAACAGTTAACTGCCTAGTAAAAAAGCTGTCATAGCAGTGACTCATGTCAGGAACAGATAGTTCCTAAAGCAGAGCTGTTTACAAGAGCTAGTTCAGTGTCTAACATCTTGGAATCCTTAGTTGGAATATTGGAGGAATAAAGTCCAAAGATCCCTTTTTCCTCCTCCCTCAGCTAATATGAATCACAGAACAGTTTGGGTTGGAAGGGACCTCAAAGATCACCTAGTTCCAAGCCCCCTGCCATGGGCAGGGACACCCTCCACTAGACCAGGTTGCCCAAAGCCCCATCCAACCTGGCCTTGAACACTTCCAGGGATGGGGCATCCACAACCTCTCTGGGCAACCTGTGCCAGTGCCTCACCACCCTCATGGTGAAGATTGTTTTTCCTTATATCTAATCTCCATCTACCCTTCTTCAGCTTAAGGCCATTGCCGCTTCTCCTATCACTACATGCCCTTGTAAACAGTTCCTCTGAAAGAAAAATACACAACGTTTTTGTGGTTTTGAAGGAGCCTAGAATTCTTCTAGCATTCACTCTGTCACCAAAACCCAAACCACAAGCTAGCTCTTTGGAAGGGCATTCCTATTCAGTAGTTTGCTGTAATCCAGATTTAAGGCATCATGTGTTGGACACAGTCACAAGACAGAAGTAATTCATAAATAACCTGCTGTTTAGTAGTTAAGAATTAAGTACGTGTATGCAATCTTAATATATCTTAAATAATCTTAAAATAATCATCTGGTATAAGGATATTGCAAATTGCCACAGGTAAGTAAAAACTTTACTTTTTCTGTCCCTCCCTTTTTGTGGCAGGGAGAGGGGAGGGTGTGGAATAGGACAGGCAATTTTTTCCCTTATTCAGTCCTTAACTTGAAATATTTTCATTGTGAGGAGCTTAAATCTGATGCAGCCTCAGTCCAGCTCGATGAGTCCAGTTGCACTAACTCATTTGTTGAGCAAGAATGCAAGACAGAGACACTTGTAATATTGTATTTTTTCATTGTATCTTCTTCAATTGATGCTATATACATATGCTTTAAGACAAATACTAAATCAGAGTAAACAGATATTCAAACTAAGCTAGCAGACTAGCAAGCAGAGAGATTGTAAGAGATTCACAGATTGGTAGGGGTTGGAAGGGACCTCTGGAGATCATCTAGTCCAACCCCCCTGCTAAAGCAGGATCACCCAGAGCAGGTTGCACAGGATCACGTCCAGGGGGGTTTTGAGTATCTTCAGAGAAGGAGACTCCACAACCTCTCTGGGCAGCCTGTCCCAGTGCTCTGACACCCTCAAAGTGAAGAAGTTTTTGCTCATGTTCAGATGGAACTTCCTGTGTTCCAGTTTGTGCCTGTTGCCCCTTGTCCTGTCACTGGGCACCACCAAAAAGAGTCTAGCCCCTTCCTCTAGACATCCACCCTTTAGATATTTATAAATGGTGATTAGATCCCCTCTCAGTCTTGTCTTCTCCAGACTAAACAGCCCCAGCTCTCTCAGCCTTTCCTCATACGAGATCCTGCTACCAGATCTCAGTGATCATCCTGACAGCTGTTTCAAAACTTCAGCATAGTAGGATTGTTAATTTTAGCTTGACCAGCAAATGGACATTTAGATGCTTAACTGAAATGCTGGTAAACATATTCCTTACTCAAGCACTAAGGCAGGCAAATTGTTTGGCTTTTTTTTTTTTTAGTTCTAATGGTATCTTTGAGTACCAAATTACATGTTGCTATTCAGCCAAAAAAAAAAAAATAAAAAAAAAAAATCAGTGATTCTCTGTGAAGCATCATAAGACCTATATTTCAAGCTGGATACCAGCTCCCTTTCAATGAGTGGTTTTCAATCCCTTAACCATACCAAACTGTATTAAAAGTAAAGCAAGCAAGCAGACTTTCTATTTATTTGGTGATAGATCAGGTTGACAGTTACAGGTCTGTCTCCAGCACTAAAGGCTAGTCTAAAACAGTAACATTCTAATGGATTTATTCTTTTTAGCCATCAGCATTAAAGGAGTTGTAAAATTTGTTCTGAGGATGAGGTAAGTGCTCTAATTTAGTTTTCCCAGCATCAGTTTAGATCTACTACAAAGTTGGAATAGACAAGTTGAATTAATGAAATTTCTGAATGCAATGCAATTTAAGTACCCAGCTTCCGTGGTCCTGCAGAAGGGAGCAAGAAAGCATCTTTAGTAGCAGCAAACTCAGGCTGAGCAGCTAATGGGATAAGCTTCCAGTAACAGTTTACTAAGGCAGCTGGGGACTTTATTTTTTACTGTGAGACAGCATTTGTTGAACAAGTCTAATACAAGAAGCTACAACAATACTTAAGGTCTTGCTATCAGACAGCTAGAGTAAGAACCCATGAGAAACAATTCTCAGCAGAATCTGAACTCCTAGTGTCAACTAGACCACAAGACCGAGTTACAGAAGACAGAATAAACACACTGATGTTCATTTGTTATGAAGAGTTGCTTCTGTTTAATGTCATTAGGTAACATCACTTGAGATACAACAGTGTAACATCCATAAGTTTCTACATTTCCAGTTTGAGACAAATACTTAAATTCATAGCTTTTTTTTTTTTGCATTACAGAAAGTGCAAGAGAAGTTTATATACAAGACTAATCGTATGACTCGCTGAATTGGGTACTAAGGCTGTATTCAAGTTGACTTAGCTCTCCATTTCAGCAACTGCTTAGGCATTTGATTTAACAATAGTATTTCAAGTTCATACTTGGCATTAACAGAAAAAACCTCTAACATATCAGCCATCACCACTGGCCAAGAATGTAGTTGTAACAGTCAGTCATAACCAACTGATTTAAAGATGTTTTAGTAAAGAGGTTCTTCAGAAAAGGTATGGTTTTCAAGAGATGGAGGACTACCTCACATTAATGGCACAGAAGGGGTGCATCTTTTCACAAGGAATCTAGGCATGGATTGAAGTCATGATTGTCTTTTTGCTTTCTAACATACTGGAAACATGCCACAGTACACCATGTGACAACTCAAACTGAGCTACATTAGAGACATTCACTGAGATCTACACAAGAAGCCTATCTGCTTGTTCCATTTGTCTGCCAAGCCACCTTAATAGAAAATAAGTCCTAGTAGATTTCCCTCCCTGAAAAGCAGCCATATTAGCACCAAGACAATAGTTAATGTCCATGACTACCTCTATGTTCTGCAAGAAGTATTTCAGCTTATCTGACTCTACAGTGTAGAACTCTAGTACTCAGGACTCCAGCAGTTCTCTTACAGACTCCAGTCCCTTTATTACACATCTATGGCAGAATGATAATTTTACTACTAGTTAGATAGACAAGTATTGGTTCCCCCCTGCCATCACATAGTTGACATCTTTGTGGCTCAGAGACCAAGTCATATGTCCAGTCACCAATTAGAACTGAGTAGTATCCACTTAACTTTACAACTGGCTGCTGTTGTGCTAACAGGCAACTGACCTAGTTGTTTAAGGTGTGGAGTTCTAGCTACTAATTCATTTCCCTTATGCAGAGGCAACACTTCTTCCCAAGGCACATTCAGTTCCTACATTTTAGGACAGTAAGTGCTACAGAAAGAGGAATTGGGGTGACCAGGTTTACAAGACACATGACTTAGGGTTGCTAAGCTTTTCAGTGGAAGATTGCAAAGAACTAAAGTAAAGTTAACATCCACCAATTTGAATTTGGGTCTCCAGTACAAGTCCAGCTCTCCATTTGCTTTGCCCCGAATTACTGTCTTCACAGCATGTTCTTTGAGGGTTTGTGTTTCAATCCACCTGGACATGTTTTAGATTACAGACATCATGGAACAGCAGCAAGAGTGGCAGACAGCAAAGTGAAACATGTAGAAAAATCATGTTGAGAAGAGGTCCAGTTATTCCATTTGTCCTTTTCTGGTTATGCCTAGTATGAGAAAAAGGATATAGGGTTAGGGTGGCTACAAATTACAGTTTTATTGCTTTAACTAGCTTAGAGCCAATGAGAACAAAACTAAAGCAATAAATAGCAACACTTGTCTTCTGTTAGAAGCCAAACAGTATTTCAGGGGAAGACTTAGAGGTGTGGCAGAGGAATAGGTTTGCTAGTTTGACAGTTCACGTTCTGTAGTCAATGGTACGAGAGTTTCTAGTAACAAAAGCTCTCATAACAGCCGTTATTCTATTTTTACTCCAATTCACCCAGAGTACAAACCCACAATTATTTAGGGGATCAAACTTCAGAAAGCTCTATGGTGCACTGAGTGCTAACACCTTCCTAAAGGGATATCTGAAGGAATTTAGTCAGCCTCTGAGTTTTGCAGCACGTATTACTTGTTAACTTTCTTCAATGACAGGAAATCTAGATCTGTTGTGGCCTTGAGACAAGTCTGTGGAAGAATAAAATCTGTATTTTTAAGAAAGTGAAGCTGGCTAGGCTTAACTAGAATGCAGCTATTTACAAGTCTGGGTAGAGGTACTCTAGCAGAAGTGTTATTCTAGGGACTGTTTACCATGCTTCAGAGGAGCATTAGTGTTAAGCTAGTGTAGTTTTTAGCCAGCTCTTTGCCAAAGGTTTTCTTAGTCAATTTCAGAGAATTAAGTAGGTTGTCTTATTAGCAGAAGACTTACCTGATCTATGCAAATGGGTTGCCAAAAGGATCACCAAAAGGACCAGAAGGTGGTTTCTGAGATTCCTTCTAAGGAAAGAGAGATCATAGGCTGTTACTGGATTTCCAGGTTTCACCAGGTTTACTCTAAATGGCTATATCAGTTAGTTCCTGTTGCAAACACATTCTAGAAAGTATTCTACGGAGTCCCTGCTAAGTACATATTAACTGTACTGCTTTAACAACAGAAAATGCCTCTAAAGCTGTGTTAGCAGTTACCCTAGTCTGAGGCAAGGTATCCTTCAGAAAATACATGTGTGCTTACTGAACAGTCATGTGGAGCTGAGCCAGTGTAGGCACGATGAGATCTGTTTCAGCCAAACCCTAAATGTCTTAAGTCCAAGGCCTTCAAGTCCTGTCTCCCAAACGGAGTGATGGGGTTAAGCCACTTTCTCTCCCCCGGAGGGTACTGAACATGGGAGCCTCCCATTTGTTCAGCAAAAGAGCTGCACATCCACACTTAGTCTGCTTAGTCTACTCCATAGAAAGGTAAGTATAACCAAAGTGGAAGACTTCTGCAGCTACGTTACTTTTCAGTCTTTTGTAGAAGCTCCCAGTACTGAAGAACTTCCTGCTAGGGCTTGCAGGTTGGGAAACTGGCTATGGAGCCAAGCCAAATGGAATTATACTTTGTTAGCCTTCTTGCAAGAAGTGCCCTCTGCTAGATTAACTATTAGCCTCAGATATGCAAGAAGTTTTGTTCCATGGCCTCTAAAGCCAGAACTAAGCCAGTGCTCAGGCACCCTTGTTCTTAAGGAGAAAGAGGTAGAGAGGTTGTTGGTGGTGCATTGGGTTTTTTTTTTATTTGTGGGTGGGTTTTGTTTCTTTGTTTTTACTACTTACAGATGAGGCACTGAAAAAGTCTGTTTTAGCTTGACTTTCAAACAGACCATCAGCTGGCAGCACACTTTGTCGAGGAACAGGCTTTGGTGGTTCTACAGAAGAGAGACATACTGCTATAATCACATAACATCTTTATCAAGTACTCATCTTTGCTTAATTAGATACACAAAAAAGGTCACATGGAAGCTGCTTTGAGTGACCTCACAATTTTCTCCTGCTTGTCCCTCACTACACTTAAGCTAGATGGGACTTCTAATATTGGACAGACCTAGTTTACCTCATTCTAGCCAAGTAGTTTAGGCACTAGGTGTCAGTGTTCAGCCACTGACATTGATCGAGTATGTAACATCATTAGGTGAGACAACCTTTCAACTCTGTTTCAGTAACCATTAAATCAGTTTTAGTTCTATCAGAAAAGACATCCCAATCCCTGAACAGCTATCCAAGAGAAAAAAAAAAGATTTTACTACTCATTTTGGCAGAAAACTTGCTAGCTTCCATGTCATCGTGAGCTGTGCTATTTTGAGGAATGCCTACTTTACTACTAAAATAATTGCTGAAAGCTCCAGAAGCACCTGAAAGGTTTTGTTGCTCTCCTCTCCTTGCTGGTACTGCAGGTGGCTTTGTCAGCTGGAAGTCTTTGAACATTTCCTTGACATCCTTCATCTCTTTATCACCAAGTGGATCCAGAGCAATAAAAGCATCACTCTCTTTCTTGGATAGCTCCTTCTGAGGTGCAGTTCTAGGTGGTGGCTGAGGTGGGCTGGTTGTTGTTGACATAGAGGGCAGTACAGATGGCATTTGAGCAGGTAGTGTTGAAGGTGGGAACACACTACTCTGGAAGGGATTTACAGCACTGGATGGCTGTGCCCATGAACTAGATGGAACTTGAGCTGGCTGTGCCCAGAGACCAGAGGGCTGCGGGGCTGCTGGACCAAAAGATGCAGGCTGGTTCCAACTTGGCACTGCTTGAGTACCAAAGGCAAGTGGTTGAGTAAATCCTGTAGGCTGGGCAGGTATCATAGACCCAGGAAAGACTGATGCAGCCTGTGTGAAGGCAGGTGTCTGTGCACTCCATGGTGATGAAGTTACTGGCAAGCCACCTAGGGGGAGATTGGTGTTACACAGCACTTCAGTGATCTGAAGATCTCAAGCAGGAGTGTATCAATTCCACTGAGGACACCAGCAAAACATTTTTCATGTACTGTTTGCAAAAATCTGTTGGTTTACACTTAAAAAAAATCAAGTCTTTTCAGGGGGAAGGGAGAAAGGGGTTAAATTTTTTTTTTTTTACTTTGCTCCATTTTAGCCCTGGAAGAAGAGAATTGAGGTTGACGTACAGAAGGAGGAACATACATAGTCCTAGCACAGAAGTGACAGGTGCATTTGTCATATAGTTACTTCTGTGTAAATGATTATTAATACTGTGCAGCAGTGTCACCCTAGCCTCCCAAGTTGTGTTTGGCTCACTTGAACCTTGTGTGCCTGAAGCAGCAATCTGCTGTCAAAGGTTAACCAAAACCACCTGTTCCAGTTAAGGATGCAGAGTTTAGGTCTCTTTTCACAGAACTTAATAGTTTAGGGCAGACAGCACATGAATTAAAGAACATGGCTCTACACATGAAGTAAAGGAAAACTAGAACCCCTTTTGTTGGTGTTAGATATCTTAGACTGGAACAAGACCAGTCTTTGTGAACTAACCTAGACCAGCCAATGGAGGTGCCGTAGTAGGACTTGTTTTGAAGAGGTCCAGTGGCACAGGTCCTGTTTGTGCCACTGAGGTCAAGCTAAGGCTCTCTGTAGTTGGCACAAAGAAGTCTGAGCTAAATAAGTCATTCGATGCAGTCTAGAAAGAAAAAAAGCTTTGTGAGATGCCATGGCAGAACACATGCTAGCATGATCAAGACCCCCTAGTCCAGAGCTACAAACTTTTATTTCAGCTAGAGCAGAGAGCTTTGATGTATCCTTTAGAGACCAAGTATAAGAGTTTCAAACACCATTTTGTTCATGCCAACTGAGATGCATAGGATTAAGTAGAAGTAATATATAGTAGTCACAAGTCAACAGCAGAAGAATAAGACTTAAAGTGACTGAATTATGAGCTTCCCACTGCCCCCACCCCTCCAAACATTCCTCCTCAGTCTGCATGACCCCTGCAGTCGTGGCAAGGTCAGCAACAGAGTTTTGTATCATCTGAGTGCAAGACAAAATGCAGTTGACCCAGAGCCACCCTGTGTCTAATCAGGCAAATCTTTGAGACTGCCCTCACTAGGCAGGTACTGAGAAACTATGTAGATTTCTGTAAGCTAGCCTAGTACCTCATAGTTACAAAACCACAAATAGATGAGCATACAGCAATCATAACAGGTTCTGGCATTATATCAAGTGTCAATATACATAGCAGCATACTTACCAGACCTTTACAGAAGTATGGCAGCATTAAGGAAGAGAGTATATAATTTAGTGAACATTGCTACTACAAAGCATTCATGAATGTTAGAATGTACCATGGCTGCAGAGAGGTTAGAGTAAGCACAGCAGGTAGAAGAGAAGTAAGTGTGTTGTGATGCTGTTTAGCCAGTTACACAGTATGAAGAAATACTTCCTTCACCCAGCTTCTCTAAGAGCATGCATATCACCATTAATTACTTGAACATTGTTCACCTTGACAGACCTCCTTCCTCTTCCTGGCTTGGTACTTTGTGGCGGTGGGCTAATTGTTATAGACTCATGTGACATGAGCTGGATATTGCTTTCAGAATCCAGCTTTACTCCATTCTGCAGAGATACTCCTTTAGAAGGACCTTCCACAAACAGGTTGGACGGGGCTTTAAGAAAGCCATTCTGTTCTCTCTCAGGTACTCCATTTGGAGCTCTTGCTGCAGGTGACTTACTCTGAAGTGGCCACTGGCTTGTTAGTGCTTCTCGTTTGCCAGTTCTGTTAGAAATCTGGTCAAACTGTTTACCAAAGTAGTCAATATCACCATTTGAAGCACCATTACCCACTGGTGTGAAGGTGCTCAGGCTTTCCTTCTTCTGATGAGCAGATTTTAGAGAATCAAATGAAGGTGGTGCAGATTTGTTTGGCTGTGCAAAAGGATCATCACTGAAAGGGTCTGGATTAGGTGTGGGAAAGAAGCTGAGATTGGTAGAGAAAGAACTCTCAGGTAAGAAGGGTGGCTGTGGCTTTGGTTGTGGAAGAGAGTTTTTCATGCCATTCAAGAAGAGATCCTCTTTTGTAAAAGTCTGTTTGGTCTCAATTTCAGAATTTAGATCCACTAACAGAATCTCTTTAGCTTCCTATTTGTTCAGAAAGAAAAATAAAGTTAGTTTTATGTAGTACTTGCTGCATAGTACACAAGCTCAGAGAAAACAGCTGCAGAAGGAGACATCCTAGTATCCAATATATCATACTAATAAGTATTCAATGTCACAGTGAAATTGCACTAAAGCTTCATCTTAGAAGTCATTCAGATAAGCACTGCTGGCTGTGGTAAAAATCACAGCTACTTAGTTTCAGAAACTCCATATTAAAAGCACCTCTTAAGATCCCTTAAATATCAGATGCTTCTTCTACAGCCTATAGACCGCAGAGTCATTGCGCTAATTACACCTAGGCTTTCACTTGAGTCAAGAACCCCTGTTTGAGTTCTAGTTCTTTGTTCTGAGAAGTTGTAAAATCCCATTGCCTTACTGTGAATTCAAGGTGCAGTCTCAGCTTTGGAGTAAGAGTGGAGAGCTATTTGCCAGTGGAAGATATTAACATGTCATTTTTCCACCAAGCAAGTGATAGAAGGATAAAATTTGGTCACTAGCTGGATTGACAGCACCAGTTGTATCATGGCTGATGGTGGCTTACAGTGCCAGAATAAACCAGGAGGATTTTTGGTGTTATAGTGAGCTACAACAAGGTTTATGCACACTTTTGTGGAATTAAGCCACATCTTGAGCTAGGGCTTACTCATCTAGAATGGCCAGGAGTCTACACTGAGGGACTGACTTAAGGATTCACTTGTCCCTAAAATGAGCCTCAGTTTTAAAGCTCTTTAGCAGAGTGTAGTAGGTCTCACAGCAGCAGAGGCATGTACTACTAGTGTATATTTCTAAGACACCTGACTAGAGACGTTGGCTGTGCAAACCTCATCAAGTTCAACAAGGCCATGCGCAAGGTCCTGCACGTGGGTTGGGGCAATCCCAAATGTGGATACAGGCTGGGCAGTGGATTGAGAACAGCCCTGTGGATAAGCACTTGGAGTACTGGTGGATGAAAAACTGAATATGAGCTGGCAATGTACACTCAGCCTAGAAAAGCCAATTGCATCCTGGGCTGCATCAAAAGAAGTGTGGCCAGCATGTTGAGGGAGGTGATTCTGCCCCTCTGTTGTCATGAGACCTCACCTGGAGTACTGCATCCAGCTCTGGGGTCCCCAGTACAGGAAAGACATGGGCCTGCTTGAGCAGGTCCAGAGGAAGAACACAGAAATGATCAGAGGGCTGGAGCACATCCATTATGAGGACAGGCTGAGAGAGTTGGGGTTGTTTAACATAAGAAGAGAGAAGGCTCCAGGGACACCTTAGAGCAGCTTTCCAATACCTGAAGGGGCCTACAGGAAAGCTGGAGAGGGACTGTTTACAAGGGTGTGTAGTGATAGGACAACAGGTAACGGGTTAAGCTGAAGGAGGGTCGATTTAGATTAGATGTTAGGAAGAAATTCTTCCCTGTGAGGGTGGTGAGGCACTAGAACAGGTTGCCCAGAGAAGCTGTGGATGCCCCCTCCCTGGAAGTGTTCAAGGCCAGGTTGGACGGGGCTTTGGGCAACATGGTCTAGTGGAGGGTGTCATGCAGTCTCAAGTGAACTCTGCTGGATAAGAATGACATTAGCTGCTCTAGTTAGTAAGTAGATATTGGAGCCCTAAGACACTAGTACACTGATGACAGCTAGACAAATGTCTTTGTTTCTGGTTGCACCGAGACTAACAAAGTAAAACCAGATCTTATTACTAGGACTAAGTTTACTCTCAAAGCAAAAGCCAAGACAGCTAAGCTAGATTCTACTTACTGTGGGACTGCTCATATCAGGAGGTGTTGACATATCCCCAAACAAGTCCATCTGGTCAACTCCCTTGAAGCCACAAATATTGAAAGAATTGATATCTGTTAGAGTTCTTACAAGAGCAAGAATTAAACATTATGCAGATCTACTATAAACACACCTATAAATACTGCATTTCCCACATAATGTGAAGACAGTCAGTTATGAAGTCCTTAATGGCATCAGCATAAAGTTCTAAAATTTAACATACCAGTTTCATTTTGTCAGCCTGATGAGCAGGTAATGCTTCGCTATCATTCTGAAACAGATGGATAACAGTGTCAGCAGTAATTAGAATATCAAAACTTGCCTTAAGCAAAGGACTTGCAGGCTTCAAAGAGCAAGTGATGGAAAGAAAGAGGAATTATGAGTGAGATTACTACTCAATATTAATTCTGTAGGCACCTTTTACTCCCATTTCAATGTAATTGAGCATTTGACATTGCCTCCATAATGCTGGCAGAGTAAAGAAAGTTGTGTTGCAGCAGCATACCTAAACAAGTGAGGCTGAGTGGGAGTAACTTACCTCAGTTTTACTGGCTTCTTCACTCTAAAGAGGAAAAGAAGGCTTTTAGTACCTAAACATCATATAGATTATCCAAACCTTCTCACTTTGGATCTATGAGGTAATAAGACTGCTGGCACCCCTATCAACCAATAGCTTCAAGTGATCCTGGATTTAGACAGATCTCAGTGTGAAGCCTTACAAAGAGCCCAAAAGCGAAGCCAAAGATGAAGCAACATTTATTTCTGTGCAGACTAATGCAGTTCCTATAATTTTACTCACCTTTTTCTTGTCTTCTTCTTCCTTCTTCTTCATATTATATATTAGTTGGAAGAGGTCCTTAAGATCAACAACTAGAGGCTCAGCCTGAAAAAGAATGTAGATTTTAGGCCATGTATTACTTTTCCCTGGATTTCTACTGAAGCAAGCTGTGCAGCAAGCCAAACTTATCTAAATGGTGCAACAGTAAGGTTGAGATAACAGGAAAAGCAAGAGTTTTAAGGACTGCCTAGTCTCAACATAAGGGCACTTATGCGGAATCTAAGGGTAACAGGGCACAGCCAGCTTAGAACTGTTGTTAACCCCACAGGGAAAGTGGCTGTACTTGTGCTAAGCCTGCTATTTTTTGCCAAAAAGCTTATAGTGCAAGATTTCATAAGTGCCTAGCAAGTCCTGGTCATGTTCCCCTCAAAAGCGCAAAGTTTATCCAAGCTCCCTGGTAGTCTTAGGAGAAGAAAAACATTTTACATCCATCTGTTTTCTACCAACTCCAACATTGATCCTGGAGAAAACTTCCACAGCTAATACTACATTTATTTTAAAAAGGATGCAAATAGTAAATCAGTAAGGCAAACATAAGATAAGATTATTGTCACCTCAAATGTGTAGAGCAGACACCAGCTTTAAGTGGTATCTGTATCAGGATGAAAATTACAGTTAGAAATTTACTGCATTCCCTGTACACCTATAAATGAGAATGTTGCCATGATAGTGGCAGGTTCAGCTATACTGATTTGGAACTTTTGCTTGAGGCATATAGCAGCTATGTCAGTGTCTAGAGTAGGACAAAAGATTCCCATGTTCAGCCACCACTTTTGGCTCAAGCCGAGCATCTGTTGAACACATCTCACTGCTTATGTCTAAGCATCATCCTCTCCTAATCAAGGTTTTAGACAAGCAACTGCAGGAAAAGCCATTTCAAGAGTTATCAACTTTAACAAACAGTAGGACTGCAGTCTAGAGCTGAAGAAGTCCTTACTCCTCAGCTAGTCAAGTTTGTGTTAAAAACAGCTAGCAGCAAGTCAAGAGCTGTCTACAGCTTGGCTAAGCTTATACGCTGGCAAGTAACACCCCATGGTGAAAAGCTCTGAGAGAACAAACTCCACTCCAGAGCACGCACAGACAGCTTTTGTACTTCATCTAGAATTCCAGTGAAGCCAATATAACACAGGACTCTGATAAATTACTAACACAGGCTTAGGAAAGTGTGTGACAGCTGTTAAAGTAGTAACATGCTCCAAGAAGGAGCCCTTCAGTCCCACCTGCAGTGGGTCTGAAGCTGCCAACAGGTTCTCCAGGAAAGCAGGCAGTGGTATGTATGAAGAAATTACTAGCTTTGAAGTCTTGGCTCATCAGGTCATTACAGTGACTATTATAAAGACATTATAATAAGTTCAGTTGTAGACATTTATCATTTATTAAGTTCAGGTCATTTAAAAATTACTGCTGAGTATTATGCAGCTTCCAAGTAGCTTGTTTCCAATACTACTTGTGTAAAGATTCTCTTCAGAGGGACAAACCCTGCCTACAGGATTTCTGCATGGACGAAGCCTATCACAGAAGGATTAGAATCCTTCCCAGAAGTAACTCTAAGAGGGCCAGACCTGTCATTCACTGGCCCCAGAAACACTATTGCAATTGAATAAGCCTGTTTTCACTGCTGCACAAGACGAAGCATCATGAGAACTAACCTAGTAGGGTTTTAACATCATTCCTGTTAATTCTAAGTGAAGCTCTGGCTATTTGACTCAAGACTTAGCATTCTCACTGACAGTAACAGGCCACTGTACAGGAAAGCCCATGATAATGGCTCCATTCATCTCATTAATGACTTCCATGGTGCACAGACATGTTAAGCAAGGTTAATCATAGTAAGCAATGCTACTTGAGTGTTCTTATTCTGGATACAGAGAAGCTGAAAAAGATAAAAGCCATTGGTGATACAGTCAATTCCTACTGCCCTCCTCTATGAGGAGAGTCTATCCATCCTGTGCTGGTATTCCCCTATACCTCATAGGGCTACCAGCAAAACACTACACCCTTATCACATGTTAAGTTTTTATATAACAGCATTATTCAAGCATATATAACAGCAAGGGGAAAAGGGTGTCTGTTCCATACCTGTTGTGCAGTTTTTATGGCAAAAAATTGGTGCTGGCCTTCTCCTCCACATATATAGCCAAAGGCACGGTTGTCTGTTACATCCCGAGCAATAAAGGAGATTTTGTTTACTGGATGCTCATGCTCTATGACCTAGAATTGGGGAAAAAAAGCCCCTAGTGGTTTAAATTGCTGGAGACCTAATAGCTGCTTTGCTGTGTAGTTGGAATGATTGAGACTGTTAGAAGACTTCAGTTCAAGACTCAGATAGATCCACCTTTGCCTAACCACAATAGTATGTGGCTATATTTCTGGTAGGAGGCTTCAGCGTTACAACCCATTTCACAAGCCGATTTTTTACATGTGGAAGGGGCCGATGATGCCAATAAGGAATCTAGTTCAGATTGGTCTAGCTTCCAAGTAACTTACTTGCTTTAAGAACCACATTAAGAGAATAAGTCATATCTTACCCCAGATTTCTCATCTATTATCTTGATACCAGTGAGGGAGATGTTCACCCAGATCTTCTGTTTGTGCTGACCCTGTGAACGGGCTGCCACTGCCATTCCCTAAAAAAAAAAAAAAAAAAAAGATGAATAAAGTATTAGTGATACTTCTGTTAGACTGAGCTTTAACTTGCTCCCTTATATTCCTCATGAGCCCGTGGCTGTGACTAGACTAGCACTAGTCCGTTTATACCTATGCAACTGTACAGTTAGAACAGCATTCCTCTTGTAACACATGTCAGACAAGGTTTAAAGTGATACCTCAGAACTAGATTGTGTTTCCTCTGTAAATGTCTTGGAGCTTTAAAAATTCTTATCTGAGTTCACAAGAGTGCTGCAGTAGCAGCATCCTTAGCAGCTTTCCTGGCTTCATTGAAGCTTACGTGAGCGTTCTGCTCTCCAGAAGTAATCATCCTTGTTGCTGCAGGGTCTCATTTATTCTTTGGCTTATCTATATCTCTTGGTGTCACCATTGCCACAGGATGCCAACTTGTGCTTAGAGGTGAGCGTGAAATTGCACAGAGTTCCTCCCTCCACATCCAAAACCAAGCTCACTATTTGCTATCAAGTTCATATTTGTAAGTGTCCACACTGGATGCTTACAACAGAACCAAAGGAGCATTCCCAAGCTATTAGAGAAACATTGTCCTTTGGACAAGGGGTTACAGCTTTAGAAGTAACATCCATCTAGGATGGTGCTGTTATGTTACCATTAAGCTGTATTTGAAGTTGTGCCAAAGCAACTATTTGATCTGCTTTCTGAAGGCTACCCAGAAGTTGTTCCTTACATGCCAGCTCAAGCTCTTACCTTCAGCTTCATCATGGAATCCTGACTCATTTTGTCTCCTCTTGCCTCTGGGACATCATCAATACCTATGAGTTTAGCTTTGTATCTTACACCATCACCTTTGAATCTGGCCAAGAGAGATTCATCTGTCTTTTCTGGCCCTGGAGACAGAAACGTTTTTTGTTTTTAAGAGAGATATGTCTATGTTGTAGTTTTGAGATCTTTTTAAAAATGTATATACCATATAAGGACATATTGAAACTGTGCCTTGAGTATAGCTGACTAACAATGCTTAGACTTTCCAGTACTGTGTGCATGCAAGATAGTTACTCCTTTAAGGTCACGCTGCTCTCACAGAATCTGGCCTCAGTTCAAAGACTAGAGCCCAGTGCTTAATATTTTTGGGGACTTCAGAACAATTGTTTGCCATATAAAAGACTGAAATATTTATCGGCAACAGCCAAGTAGATATAAGTGCTCAGCAAAACGCCAAGCAGAAATGGTACTTCCCATGGCCATACCGGATGTTCAATAAGCCTTTCAGATATTAGCCCCTAGCTTTGATGTAGTAAGATCTCTTCTTGGCATGCAAGAATCTCCTAGTTCCTGTGCTAGAACTTTTTATCAGCACCATAATTTCTACAACAAGTCCTGGTACCCTGTCCATATAATCAGTTGGGATTTTAGCTAATTTACTATTTCTGCTATTCCCACTACTCAGAATTGCTTGCTTTTCTTCTCTGCATGCTTAACATACTCCAAGAGTGTACCTAGGTATGTATTTCTGTATGAGGTAATTATATTTACATGACCTAATCGATTAAAAAAAAAATCTATCTTCTGATCTACAACAACTCTCATTAAATGAGTTTTCAAGCTTCTCTGGACTAGAATCTGTATCAGAGTCCAGCACATCACTCCCTCCCTAGAGGGAGGGGAGGAAGTGAGGTCAGGTTCAGATTGACAGGTACCTGGATGGTCCTGTGTCTGGTCACCTCCTCAGGAGGTTTTCACTTCTCTGGGATTTTGGTAACTTGTCAGGCTCAGCAAATGACTCATTTAACAAGTGGAACTGAGAGCTTTAGAACGTAAAACTATGAAAAACCTCTCAAGCTAAAAGCCTACCTTCTGATTTATTTTACTAGCTTATTTACTCATTATTTCAGTCAGCTTGAAACCTCAAAGTTATTTTTACTAGGCTGTGAGAGTGATCTTAGTTTTAGGCAAATGCAAAAGATTGATACTGACTAGAGGAGGTGTTCAAGAGGTCAGCATTTCTTACCCTTCTTTTTTTCTTTCTTTGAAGGTTGTGCTTTTGGTGGAGCCTGTTGCTCAGGCTGGCTATTGATAGAAGTAGTATCAGCTTCAGTAGACATGATGAGATGGTGGTCAGCTGTGCTTGCTGCAGTTTTTAAAAATCCAGATAACAGTCAGTAGGCAGATAAGAATATTTCTTCTTCAAGGTAAAATATTATATTAGTCCAGTTTTGTTCTATTGAATGCTGAAGCCCACTAATGCTTGAAAGTTTTAGTAGTGATCGTATAGGAAGTCTGACTTACCATCTGTTCATCTTGGGCTACAGGGAGCATGAAGTTATGGCCACTAGGTGATGAACTCCCACCTCAGTAATACCTAATCAGTAGATCACACTGACCTACATCCACAGGCTGTACTTGCATCACCCTATTTTAATCTGTCAACCTTTAGCTCTTTACTCTTTAAAGCTATTTATAGAACCTCAGGTATTTTGCTCTATTCTCCTTTAGCACTGCTAGCTGCATGTCTACAGTATGGGAGAGAACACAAGAAATATTTGCTAGGATCTGTTCCAAACATCATGAAGATGACACCAAAACACCCAAGAGAAGCCACTAGATCCTATTTATGTTTCTGAAGTCTGAGGTTATACCACCCAACAGGTAAAAGCAAATAAATTCCTCAGGCTGCAGACAGACTTTTCCAGGAAAAGAAACACAACAAAGCCTAAACCCAAACCCCTTGTCTTAACCGTAATCAAGTAAACTTAGGTTTTAATTAAAAAGGACCCCAAACCCTGCAAGTTAACTGGAACTATGGACTAGTATGACTTACCTCTATGCCATGAGACCCTTTCTGCCTCTGAGATACAAGATAGATTAAAGAAAATAATCTGCAGTCACTATATTTTCTTCCTACACAGCCAAAGCATTTATTCACACTTACCAAATAAAGTGACTCATATTTTCTTTATGGAGGTCTGAAGATCATCTGTACCCAGCCAGACAGAACTGGACATTCACATCTGCTACAAAAACTGTTCTATGAATCTTCTGTCTGGGATATTGCAGTTAGTTCCTTGAACTTTAGGGTGGCAAATCATAGAATGGTTTTGGTTGGAAGCGACCTTAAAGATCACTTAGTTCCAACCCCACTGCCATGGGCAGGGACACCCTCCACTACACCACATTGTCCAAAGCCTCATCCAACCTGGCCTTGAACACTTCCAGGGATGCAGCATCCACAGCTTCTCTGGGCAACCTGTTCTAGTGCCTCACTACCCTCACAGGGAAGAATTTCTTTCTAACATCTAATCTAAACCTACCCTCCTTCAGCTTAAGGCCAGTACCCCTTGTCCTATCACTCCATACTCTTGTAAACAGTCCCTCTCCAGATTTCCTGTAGGCCCCTTCAGGTACTGGAAGGCTGCTCTAAGGTCTTCCCAGAGCCTTCCCTTCTCCAGGCTGAACAATCCCAACTCTCTCAGCCTGTCCTCACAGGAGAGGTGCTCCAGCCCTCTGATCAACTTTGTGGCCCTCCTCTGGACTCTCTCCCACAGCACCATGTCTCTCCTGTACTGGGGCCCCCAGAGCTGGATGCAGTACTCCAGGTGGGGTCTCACCAGAGCAGAGTAGAGGGGCAGGATCACCTCCCTCGACCTGCTGGTCACACTGCTTTTGATGCAGCACAGGAAATGGTTGGCTTTCTGGGCTGCAAGCACACACTGCCGGCTCATGTTGAGCTTCTCATCAATCAATACCCCCAAGTCCTTCTCCTCAGGGCTGCTCTCAATCTGTTCCTCGCCCAGCCTATAGTCGTGTTTGGGATTGTGCCAACTCATGTGCAGGACCTTGCACTCGGCCTTGTTGAACTTCATGCAGTTCGCCAATGAAGCCAAAAGATTGTTCAGATGATTAAGTAGCCAGGCTACCCTCTACTAGTAATTTCCCCTATATCCAGGCAAGCAGCCACAGACAAAGCCACCCCTTTTATCCAGCACACCATTTGAGACCTACTATGTACCTAGATACAAGTGCTGAAGCATTGTATATCCTCTGGCATTAGAAGCTTGTAATTCTCAATAGCCTGTTCCTCATTTGCCATAGTTGCAGCTAATGCTTTATCCATTACTTGGAAGTTACTTTCAGGGTTTTGCTCTCACTCAAGCCTTCCCCTCTTCCCTCAATTCATCACTAAGTCAATAGCTACAGACTGACTCATCCAGCTTGCCAGTAACAGAGTAATGGATGCCAATGCTTAACTGATTCTTGACCTAGGAATTTGTGTTCTTCCTAGGTCTTTAAGAGAGAATTTCACCCTGAAGGCCTCCATTTCCATTTAGACAGAAGGGAGGCCTTTAGGGAACTTACTATTAATATAAGCAAAGCTAGATCTAGCTGCTGACCATATGGATTGTGAATTGCATTTTGCATTGATCAAGTAAATCAACAGAGATAAAAGTGCTCATATGGGAAAAATCTCTGGCAGCTATACCTGTTCCACTCTAAGTAACTTATCTCGCCATAGCTAGGGAACATTTGATGCAAGGAAGCAAAGGTGTTGCTATGAAAATTTCAAGTGGTTCTGAGTAGAAATAGAAGTTAGAAGAGTTGATATAGCAAGTCATGGTTATTTAGGAAGTGTTATCTCTGAAAGAGTGGTTTGTGTGCCCATTCTTACAAAGGAGCAAGGGGAAAAACTATTACAGCCAACAGGGAGTTTTCAGGACACTTGTACCAAGGCTAAAAAGAAGTGTGTCCATTGAAAACCACACATTAAGCAGGTAAAATGAAGCAAACTGAATTCTGCTCTAAAACTAACTAGACTAGCTTGTCTGATGGTATTGTTTTGGGTGGAGATAGTCTTTAGGCTTCAGCATAATGACCCTCTCCCCAGATCTATCAAGCCTTCAGAAACAGAGAGGAAGAAAAGACAGCATCAAGATTGAATCATTAGTTTACCACCCACCTCCATCTGGAGGGTTACTGTTTAGAGAATAGAATGGAAAGGCCTGGAGAAGAACAGAGTTAAGACATGCTCTCTAGGAGCTGAGTCATAGCTTTAGGATATTCTGCCCAGCTCCATGCTGGAAAAAAGAAACAACCACCTCAAGGCGCTGAGTCCTGCCTGTCAGTGATCCTGTTTCCCCAATTTAATTGGTAGAACTACACCCAGTTCTGGTGTTGTACAGCCACAGTTAAGTATCTCACTCTGAAGTAAAGAGGCAAGAATAAGCAAATAACCTAGGAAGGAGCAAATATGCACTAACAAGACCTCACTTTGGCAACTGTAAAGTGGTAGAAACCCAGGTAGGCAGTTGCTATCTCTAAACTTTAATCATCCCTCCATTATTGCCATCTGCCTCCATCCTACAGAGGACCAGATCACTTAGTTGCATAGAGCCAGACAGCACAAAACCCCAAGGTGGAAGAAGATGGGCAGGCGTACACACAAGTCTGGCTGAATCCTTGCAAATACCCTCTGTCTTACTGCAGAGAAGCTCATTCTCAGTGCTAGCAATGCAATTTGAGAAGGTTAGTGAGGGCTTTCTGGCCAGTTTACAGGACATACTCTCCTAGCTGAGGTCTGGCACAGCTCATATCACCTGGTGAGATTCACTGTACATGACAGTTATTTATCATACCTTTGGAGAACTCTGTCTTTGAGAATCATATCTCTGGAGCATGAGAATTAGTGAAACTAAGAATGCAAAGATAGAAAAAGGCTGCCTTAATACACGTTCATATTTTAAGTAACTACTTCTTGACATCTTAGTTAATCCACCAGACTAGGATACGATTGCCCCAGGCTTTACCTTAAAATTTCACTGGAGTGCGGAGCAACATTTCATAGCTTGAGCTAGCTTGTCTGCTAGTCTGCTTGGAGCATGAAATTCTGGGTTCAATGCCTTAGACCCAAGTTAAAGCTGTGCAAGGTCTTTGTCAGACTTAAGTTTGGCTTATCTTACTGGAAAATGCTGGTGAGCTCAACCTGCAAGTAACTAAAATGAAGTTAAAATCTTCTGTTTGTAGTCCTTGCTTGGAGCCTTCCTTTCACAGTACTCAGTCCCTTAGTATTTCCTTACTCAGACTGTGGGACTAAGGCAACAAGAGACCAGAACTGTTCTATTATACTTGAATTCTAAGTTAATCTGAAAAGAGCCAGCCAGCAGTATGGCAGGGCTAGATATGCATGAGCTTTTATGCAAGGACAGTCATGCCTTCAGTTATATTGGCATAGCGAAAACCAAGATCATTTCCACAGCAGCTATGTCAGCAGACTGATAAGTGATGCCTTTTGAATCTTCTCTATGTAGTTAAGTCCATTGCTATCACCACAGCTTAATTACTCACTATGCAGTTGTATGGCCCATTTTAACTACTATGCTAAATGCACTATTTCAGAAGTCTTAGACTGCAGATTTATGGATGTTGCCACCCTGGGAGAAATGCCCCAAATTCTTGCCTGTATCTATAGATACACACCACATTTTGCTCACCCACTTTTCAATTTACTCCAGAAAGAGCTTAAGAGACCACTAATAGTATCTTCCTCCTTTGCTATAGGGAAAGCTATCCTGTGAAAAACCAAGTACTGATCACTCCTTAGGGAAAGGCCATTTCAGGCCCTCAACACACATAGGCCTTGAAGTATGGGCCGTTACCTACTGTCTCAAGTTAGCCAACTCTCCATGCAAGCATTGTACTTTATTTCTACACATTTACTATGGGAAAGTCATTCTTAAGACTTTGGGCATACCATGCTCTTGGTATCTTCTCTGAACTCCCTACAACAAGAGCTGTTGGTAGTGACAAGGCATCCTTGAAATACCCGTTTCTCAGCAAGACTTGAAGCACAAGCCAAACAACTTTGTTGAGCAACATTTAGTCTCCCATAAGAGAAGCTTTCACAATTATCCCTTATTTGAGCAAGAGGTGACAACATGGTAGGTATCCTTAATGGTTATATTTTTTTTACTGTGCACAAGGGATTCAGAATCTTCATTATGGCTGTAGTCTGTCATGGGATTTAAAGACTGGGCAATAATCGTCATACAACAGACAGGCTTTTTACCCTCATCAGACAAAGATAATTGCCTGAATGTTGACAAAAACTTGTCTGAGAAAAGGTTAGGGACACTGAAAAAGTCAGAGTCAAGGTGGATAAACTAAACATCTGCTCAGTAGTTTAACACT